TGCTTCCAATTCGAGAACTGAAGCGAGACTGAATTTCTTCACCGATTGTTCGGCTTTTATACCTTTCTAGAGAGAACGGAAAAATTATTTAAATTAAACGCAAATTTTTTGTAAATGGTCAAGAGAAAAGAGTATTTATGTGGAATTATCGAAATAGAAACAACAGACCCGTAGCAAATTTGAATATAATTGCTATGGAGACCAAATAAACAACAATGTCAAAACATGTCAAATTTTGGTTTTAGGCGTGTAATAAGAAAACGGCAAGATTTAAGTGGAAAATGAGATATTATTGATATAGGAAAAAAGGTAGCGCAACTGCCCACACAAAGCCCGAGATTGTAGAGTTACGGAAAACTAACTAAAAGATTGAAAAAAGGTAGACTCCATTGAAACCAATTTAAAAGTGCTGATAATGTGAAAATACGAAGTAGAAATGATTTGTTATTGTGTTCTTATGGTTTAAAATCGTTACAGGATCCTATGGAAATAAAGGTGATGTAAAATATCCAGTTTTGAAGTGAATGCAGAAAATCGAAACAGAATGGAAAAATGAATTTAAAATAATGTAAAATGATATGTAAGTAGCATAACACTACATTTTCCCCCCGACCCTGGAAAATTTTTGACTCAGCAAAAATTTTGATATATACATTCTAAAATAAACCATAAAAACACAGCTTTGCAGAAACATACATCACCAGGCAAAATCAGATATACTATCTCTTACATTCATCATCTGCCATTCAGGTAAGGGTGGAGTTCACATTCAATGACTACCACTCTAAAAGTGTGTTTTCGAAAGGACATTCAGGCTTATTTAAGGAGTAGTCATCCGCTCCTGCGTGGAAAAAAAAAATATTAAGGGAGTAGTAAGCCGCTCCCAAGTAAAGATAAAGATAAAGAAATCAATCTTAAGCAAGCTTTAGTCGCTATGACTTAAGTAAAGATTAAAAACGGCCAGAGCGGTAGGGCTCAAAGCCAGAGATCAGCAACATCACTAGCGAGATGTGTCTGAAATAATAATAAAAAGTGAAGATTAACCAACCAAACAAACAAACAAATTAAAAGAAATAAAAATAATAAGGTGAAAATGATGGTGAAGATGAGAATGATGGTGAAGTTTGAGAAACAAGAGGGAGTTCCATGACAGTCGGGTCAACAGGAGGGTCAAGTGATGGAGAGTCATTTTCAGTTGAAGGTGGAGTCAAGGATTCGAATTGTTTAGTAATATTGTCAAATTTGTAAAGTTAAGTTTAAGAAATAAAAATTTAATTAAAAAATTATACCTCTTTAAGTTATCTAGAATAAAAATATTAAAGTGATGAATGTAAGTGAAGTGTTAAATGTAGGTCTAAATATAATCCAGATAAGTTGAAACACTAGATGAAGTGTTGTTTTAGAATTTGGAAGGTTATCTACAATAAAAATATTAAAGTGATGAATGTAAGTGTTAAATGTAGGTCTAAATATAATCCAGATAAGTTGAAACACTAGATGAAGTGTTGTTTTAGAATTTGGAAGGTATGAAAAGGATGAATAAATAAAGAGTTAAGAACGAAAGAGGAAGCAATTAAATCAAAAGGAATGGACAAGGCGCAGTAAAGGTGAAGAGAAGAGAAAGAGAACTTTTACGTTGGGCGCCAAATGTCGTGAAGCGACAATAAAGAACAAAAAGAATCTAACCTAAGAACAACAAAACAACAAAAATACAACAAAAACAAAAATATATTTAAAATTCAAAGATATTTACAATTTAAAAAAAAATGAAATGAGGATGATGATGAATGAAGTGAGAGTACAATTAAATTACAAAAAAAATAAAGGTAGGAGAATAGGGGAATATAGAGTTGTAGCGGAGCCTAAAAGTCGAAGCGACACACGTTGCGATTGTAGAGGTAGGTTTCTTAGCAGCGACGACACGCAGCGCCTGGAGCCAGCACACGCAGCGTCCGGAGCCGGCGCACGTAGCGCCTGGAGTAGGTGCGCTCAACGCTTAGAGTCAGCAGTTGCAGCGCCCAAAGGTAGCGCCGGCGGTAGGTGCACTCGGCGCCTGGAGTAAGCAGTCGTAGCGCCCGGAGTAGTGTGGCCCCCGCGCTTGAAGTAGACTGCCGACGACTTCCGAGGTAGATGGAGGCTTGTAGGATTCCGGAGTGGTGCGGCTCCGCGCTTGAAGAAGGCTTCGCCGAAGACTTCACGTGTAGGTGGAGGCTTGCAGGATCCCGGGGCAGTGCTGTCCCGGGATAAGGCCTTTAGGAGATGCTTCCAATTCGAGAACTGAAGCGAGACTGAATTTCTTCACCGATTGTTCGGCTTTTATACCTTTCTAGAGAGAACGGAAAAATTATTTAAATTAAACGCAAATTTTTTGTAAATGGTCAAGAGAAAAGAGTATTTATGTGGAATTATCGAAATAGGAACAACAGATCGGTAGCAAATTTGAATATAATTACTATGGAGACCAAATAAACAACAATGTCAAAACATGTCAAATTTTAGTTTTAGGCTTGTAATAAGAAAACGGCAAGATTTAAGTGGAAAATGAGATATTATTGATATAGAAAAAAAGGTAGCGCAACTGCCCACACAAAGCCCGAAAATGTAGAGTTACGGAAAACTAACTAAAAGATCGAAAAAAGGTAGACTCCATTGACACCAATTTAAAAGTGCTGATAATGTGAAAATACGAAGTAGAAATGATTTGTTATTGTGTTCTTATGGTTTAAAATCGTTACAGGATCCTATGGAAATAAAGGTGATGTAAAATATCCAGTTTTGAAGTGAATGCAGAAAATCGAAACAGAATGGAAAAATGAATTTAAAATAATTAAGGAAAGGTAACATTTTATAAAACTTGACAGGTTTTTCCGGTACTTGGACTCAAATAAATTGTTTCTTTTTGTTCTATGGCTTCAACACGGTTCCTTACATCGTTATTTTTGGAATATCTAAGTCCCGTTTTTGCTTTGTTATGTAATTTTCCTGTATTTGTAATAATGATTGAGGTTGCATGTTTATTCATAATATGTTTTGGTTTTCGAATATCAGTCGGTTGAATTTCTTTACTTAAATTTACATCTTGTGGTGCTCTATATTCAATTGAATTTTAATTTTTTTCTATTTCAACAGTGTCAGATATCTTAAAACGTTTTATTGAAAAAATCTCTTCATCACTAGAATCTTCATTTTGCGGGGTATTACAACTTGGTGGGCTCTGAAAAACAATAGATACCTCTACCTTTAATAGTATTTTACAAATACAGGCCGCAGCTCGGGTGTGAATGGCTGTTTATTAAGTGTACCGATCAAAACGTGGCGTAAATGGAGTAATCATGTTCAGGATTTCAACGAATTATTTACCAAGCCAAAATAAATTTGCGGTCTGGCATTCAAAATACTTTTAATTAAAATTATCAATGAATAATATTTGAAAGCTCAAAATGGTAAGGGTAACTTTTTTATACGTTATTTATTCGTTTTGATTATAAAGTACCAAAATGTCGACAAAAACCCAATTTCAGTATGTTCAAAATAAATCACGGATATCAATTTTTATACGAAAACTATCATTTTGTTCGGTACAATTTTTATTAAGCTGCTAGCGAAAGGCTTCCGCAAAAGTTGTTTGTTAGCAGTAAATATTATTTTTTAATGGAGCATGCTATGTTCAGAGCTCATTGTATAATTATTGTTATTAAGTATTGCAGTTTTAAAGAAAAACGAATCAAGCATGCTAGTTGCAGGAGGTATCGCTTAATCATGAAGCATTGTATTTTTTTATTATACTCGAGGTTTTCAAATGTAACTGTTTCATTCCACAAATGTCAATTTTACAAATATTACAAATTAGGTATATTAGTGATGTTAGTGTTAGTTAGTGTTAGTGTTAGTGTACTCTCGACACTAGGGTTTGCTGGGTCGATTGACCTGCGCTGCGACCCACTCGCTAAATAGAAGAAGTGTTAATGATTCGCGTCTTAAGCTTTTCACACAAAAACGCCAAAAAATATAGCTTAGTTAACTTAAAAGCACCACTCCAACTATTCAGTACGTACTCACAGATCCGTTAAATACCGTAATCCTTTATGCTAGATCGCTAAAAACAAAATAAAAATGTAGTTAATTCATAATAGCTGTCTGTGGATATAAAAAATCATAAAACTCACTTAAACACTTAATCAGAGAGGTTGACTAGTAGAACTACTTATTCCCACTAGCAAATCTGACGTATTAAAAAAAAGTCCTCGGAGTTTTGTGACAATTACCTTAAAAGGATATCAATTACCTACGTTTCCTGTATCAATCCTCTTATATACCTATATACCTACTGAACATTTTGAACAAGGACAGAAAGCGTGATTATAATATAATTCCTCACTATACAGATATACAGCTAGCCTATCGAGTCCCACTGCTGGGAGTCCCTCCCTATACATAGTATACAATATTATACACAATATTTTAAAATTAACGTACTTATTTAGCTGAAATTTATTTATTAAATACATAATTATTTCATCTATATTATTATTATTTATTCGGAGTAGGTATATTTATAAATATTAATTAGTGACTGACCTGTTTTTGAAATATCATCAGCGATTTTGACTCAGATTCACCACCCGGTTTTTCTTCATCATCCTCTTTAATTAACTTTCTTCGGCAACATTTCGACATAATCGACAGTAGTTCTTCGTCGCGTGCGCAGCCTGGCATGCGTTGCACAACACTAACCGCGTGAAGCTAGCGTAGAGGTGCGCGGGGGTACGAGGTTTTCGGAACCTCTTACCGCACTGTGTTAGAATTTTATTTGTTCAGTGCGGCACGAGGTCTAAGAAACCCGGTATTAAAATAAGTATACCATAGAACTAGGAATCAATAGCACATCTCAGATATATAGTTATCTCTTTCCTATAGTGAACCAGATGGAAGTTATGCCTCGCGCATGACAGAGAAGTTTAAGTTTTTCCTTACCGCTATAAAGACAAGACACGTACAGGGCGTTTCAAGCCCTGTTTCGCACTTAACGTGTTAACATTCGATGGGACTTTCTTGCTCATAGAATCTGATGGTCGATCCGATGCAGCAGTTCATACTGCGCAATGAGCTCATCGAGGTCCTTGGTGTCAGTCAGCCGATGGCGCTTACCACTAGGCAACTTGACGTAGATTTTACCATCAAGTTACCAAACTTGTCTGATACCAAAGTGCTTACGCGCAGAAATGAATAAAATTTGACGCTGACGAGTAAGAAACTCTGAAAGCACATATGGAGTCCCTTTCAACTGTGTTTTCTTGGCCCAAATGGTTTACTTAATGGACTGATCACTAAACCGTATCAGGACTGGTCTTGCACGAGCGTCCGATACTGCACCCAGACGATGGCAAGCCACGATGGATCTTGAAGAAAATTCCTTTGGTTGAAGCTTATCCTGCAGGACTCGGAAGACTTGAATTGTTAATTTTCTTTGCATTCTTTTACCACAATGTAAACTGAGGTCACACCAATTCCCAAAAATGTCAGCTGTTGTCGAAACACATTCTTTTTTTTCGGAAGCCTCAATATGTAATAGTGAAGCAGCTTTCTCCTCAAATACGTGTTTGTAGACGTTTTGTATCATAAGTTTTTCGGTAACGCTTAAAGCAATCCGTGGTCTCTTCCTTCTTGGAGACAAGCTTTGGCTTGACGTGCTTGGTTGAGGATCCATATCGTTTGTACGGAACAATATAGCAACAAATAAACACAACACTTACCACAAACACAACGTAACAAAAAACTAAACAAAAACAATAACTAAACAGCTTAAGCAGAAAAAACAACGTAACGAAAAACTTAACAAAAACAATAACTAACAGCGTGAGCGCAGAAAATACATTCGTGCTAACAGACCAGAGGTTAGAAGCCGAATTACAAACAAAATGGCGACCGATGCGCGTGGCGTTGATCGGTGTTGGCACTAGTTGCCGCGCCGCGCTTTGTAATAAGTCGTCAAAAAACTGATTGTAGTTACATACTACTGGTAACTTTTATCAGAGCACTTTATACAATTTTATTGTATAATAGAAATAATATTCTTTTATAGTTTGAAATGATTAACTATTCACACTCATTGTTCATTCATCTGATTGAACGAGAACTGAACGCATCAACTTTAAATATGGCAACATTATTTTACAAAGTGACATTAGCTACTGTCAGTTGGCTTCGTCTAATTAAAAATACGACTATTCGCTATGTGCGAAGTACATAGTGGGGGTATAGTAAAGCGATTGCAGCGCTTGCCGTGGCAGAAATACGTAACAATCCGGGAAAGCTAAGTAAATTTGCACGGAGTTCGTAATAAATAAAAAAAAATTAAAATGTCTAATAATAGATGTTGTTGTGTTGTGAACTGCAAAAATAACGGCACAAATAGTCGGTGTAAATTCTATATATTTCCTACATTGGACTAGGAATTAAATCAAAGAAATAAATGGATAGATGCTATAAAAAGGAATAAGTAAGCGAAATAACCTTAAAATATGATCAATTTTATTTGCGCTATATTTTATGTGATATTTATTATTGTCTTTATTATTTTAGTGTTGATGGGTGGCCATGGTATCCCAAACCTGACGACACAATTTGTAGTGAACATTTTATGGGAAACAAAAAATCAGACGAGGAAGAAAGTCCGAGTTATGCTCCCACGATATTCCCTAAAATATATCGAAAGAGGAAGGTTAATGATTCACAGGTCCTAGCTAGATATACACGCTTGAAAAAACGAAGAACCACAAAAGTCTCAGATACCACATCAAGTCAAATAATAATTGAAGAAGGAAGTGAATTATATCAAACTCAACCTCTTATGGTCGATCAAGGATGTCAAGTCAATATGTTTTCTGAATCGAAATTAAGAGATACAACCTTTATTTGCATTCGATTAATTTACAGTGATCACTGTGATGCTGAAATCCAAGTGAATATAGCAACAACATCAAGAATCGTAATGACAAATAATTCAAGAAAGAAAGAAGCTGTTGCACTGACAAAAAAATCGTATGAGGATCAATCTACCGAAACAAAAATCCAAGAATTTGTTGGTATTTCATCAATAAAAAATGATCAAGAACTCCTAGATCTTGCTGGTGTGTCATTTAGTAATTTTGAGTTTTTATTAAGAAGATTAACTATGAAAAAGTGTACAGTTTCCACTAAAGACCGACTTCTAATTTTTTTGATAAAAATGAAAACTGGCGTGACATTTTCAGCATTGAGTGTGTTATTTGGTGTACACAGAACCACAACCTCACGAATATTTCATTCGATCTTACAAAATCTAGCTTGTGCTACTGCTAATTTAATCTTTTGGCCGAATAGAGCCACCGTACAAGCAACAATTCCCAAGTGTTTCAGTCCAGATTACATCAATACAAGAGTTATTATTGACTGTACTGAATTCCGAATTGAAATACCGACTGCAGTGGATGATCGTGTTGCTTGTTACTCACATTATAAAAAAGGGTTTACTGCAAAAGTTTTAATAGGAATTACACCTGGAGGATTTATTTCTTTCAAATCTAAAGTAGCTGGTGGAAGAAAAACTGACTCACAAATGACTGTTGAATCTAGATTAGTTGACCTTTTAGAAACTGGAGATGTAGTTTTGGCTGATAAAGGTTTTCCTTCAATAAAAAAAGTTATAGACGAAAGTGGCAAAGAAGTTAAAATTGTAACGCCACCGTTTTTAGCAAATAAAAACGAATTATCTCAAGAAGAAACCCAAAGGACATATGATATTGCTCGAGTTAGAATTCATGTCGAAAGAATTATGCAAAGACTAAGAATTTACTGGGTTCTCGATAAAATTCCTCATAATTTATTCAACTGTATAGATGATATTGTACATTGTCGTGAAGCGACAATAGAGAACAAAAAGAATCTAACCTAAGAACAACAAAACAACAAAAATACAACAAAAACAAAAATATATTTAAAATTCAAAGATATTTACAATTTTATAAAAAAATGAAATGAGGATGATGATGAATGAAGTGAGAGTACAATTAGATTACAAAAAAAAATAAAGGTAGGAGAATAGGGGAATATAGAGTTGTAGTGGAGCCTAAAAGTCGAAGCGACACACGTTGCGATTGTAGAGGTAGGTTTCTTAGCAGCGACGACACGCAGCGCCTGAAGCCAGCACACGCCGGTTGCGCTTGTAGAGGTAGGTTTCTTAGCAGCGACGGCACGCAGCGCCTGGAGCCAGCACACGCAGCGTCCGGAGCCGGCGCACGTAGCGCCTGGAGTAGATGCGCTCAACGCTTAGAGTCAGCAGTTGCAGCGCCCAAAGGTTGCGCCGGCGGTAGGTGCACTCGGCGCCTGGAGTAAGCAGTCGTAGCGCCCGGAGTAGTGTGGCCCCCGCGCTTGAAGTAGACTGCCGACGACTTCCGAGGTAGATGGAGGCTTGTAGGATTCCGGAGTAGTGTGGCCCCCGCGCTTGAAGTAGACTGCCGACGAATTCCGAGGTAGATGGAGGCTTGTAGGATTCCGGAGTGGTGCGGCTCCGCGCTTGAAGAAGGCTTCACCGAAGACTTCACGTGTAGGTGGAGGCTTGCAGGATCCCGGGGCAGTGTGGCCCCGGGATAAGGCCTTTAGGAGATGCTTCCAATTCGAGAACTGAAGCAAGACTGCCTTTCTTCACCGATTGTTCGGCTTTTATACCTTTCTAGAGAGAACGGAAAAATTATTTAAATTAAACGCAAATTTTTTGTAAATGGTCAAGAGAAAAGAGTATTTATGTGGAATTATCGAAATAGGAACAACAGATCGGTAGCAAATTTGAATATAATTACTATGGAGACCAAATAAACAACAATGTCAAAACGTCAAATTTTAGTTTTAGGCTTGTAATAAGAAAACGGCAAGATTTAAGTGGAAAATGAGATATTATTGATATAGAAAAAAAGGTAGCGCAACTGCCCACACAAAGCCCGAAAATGTAGAGTTACGGAAAACTAACTAAAAGGTCGAAAAAAGGTAGACTCCATTGACACCAATTTAAAAGTGCTGATAATGTGAAAATACGAAGTAGAAATGATTTGTTATTGTGTTCTTATGGTTTAAAATCGTTACAGGATCCTATGGAAATAAAGGTGATGTAAAATATCCAGTTTTGAAGTGAATGCAGAAAATCGAAACAAAATGGAAAAATGAATTTAAAATAATGTAAAATGATATGTAAGTAGCATAACACTACATTTTCCCCCCGACCCTGGAAAATTTTTGACTCAGCAAAAATTTTGATATATACATTCTAAAATAAACCATAAAAACACAGCTTTGCAGAAACAGACATCACCAGGCAAAATCAGATATACTATCTCTTACATTCATCATCTGCCATTCAGGTAAGGGTGGAGTTCACATTCAATGACTACCACTCTAAAAGTGTGTTTTCGAAAGGACATTCAGGCTTATTTAAGGAGTAGTCATCCGCTCCTGCGTGGAAAAAAAATTATTAACCCTTAAATGCATGACATACCCAATATCATTGGAAAAAATATATGTTGTGTAAAATGGTTTATAGATGCTGGAAAAAATAAAATAAAAAATCATTATTCAATATAATTAGTTTTATTTTGAAAAATATTCTGGTATCATTTTTGATACAACATGCAAAAAACTACAATTTTATTCTCAGTTCTATTGTGTACTACTTCCGTTAATTGACTTATTGTTAATTATTGCAAAGCACTAATGTGCAACCAAATGATCACAAAAATATGTCCTATAGATGAAAATCATTAAAACAGTCAGTTGTTTTTTTGTTAGAACACAAATACACCTTACATTTTAGACACATAATACTACTCAGCAGTTTGCAGCCTGGGTTCATGCACCTCATACGATTTTGTTGCCTCGATTGAATATGATCCACTCCATCGTACCGAACATCTCTCGAGGGCATTACCTGCTGGATGTTTTTCCTTTTAGGTGCTGGCTCCTCCGAAAAGTTTCGGCTTGGTCGACCTCGTGAAGGTACAACATGTTCGCCATATTTGCAGAGAGCATCCGCCAATTCAGCTCTAAACTCTGCCAGATTCAAAACCTGCTTAGGGTTCAAATTCTTTTTAGCAGAGACTTTCTTATATAATATCCAGGAGTTAATTACTGATAGGTCGAGTAAGTGGTAAAAAATTCGCATGTACCATTTCCGAGACTTTACTTTTATGTGATACCTGCCTAGGAAAGAGTCCATGAGGTCTACTCCACCCATGTGTGCGTTGTATTCCTTTATTATTTTTGGACATGGTATGGGCACCTTTTTCTTTTGGTTTTTGTCATATCTTTCAATCGTTTCTACAGGTTCAGCGCCAATATAAGTGGAAAGTAAGGTCACCTGCTTGTTATCTTTCCAACTGATCGCAGAAAAATCCACACCATCGAGACTTGTCGTGTTTTCAACGTAGGATCCTCGGGGTACATTACTGTTCATTACTTCTTTCTTTTTAGGCAACTTACAAGACTTTCCTAGACGGTTTAGCTGCACCGTACCTAAGCACCATATGCCTTCCTTCGCCATGTAATACATTAGTGGTAATGAAGTGTAATAGTTATCGAAGTATATTACATGGTTCATCATTCTTGGGACTCTTCTAGTTAACTTTATTACTGTATTACCGGTCACTCCAATATCAGGTTCATTACTACGCATTGGTTCTTTGTCTGTTCCACTATATATTATGAAATCATAGCAATATCCTGCCAAGGAACACAACGCAAAAAGCTTGAACCCCCACTTGTGGGGTTTATTGGGTAAATATTGTTTCAAGAAATGGCTGATTTTTGTTGCGCACATTTGTTCGTCAACTGAAAGGCGTTGTTCCATTGGAACACTAGAAAATTTCATTGTCAGATGATCTATAATGGGTCTTAGTTTGTGAAGTTTATCATGGTCGGGGCTACCAACTGGTTTGTGTAAATTATTATCATTGAAATGTAATATGCTTCTTACTTTTTCAAATTTGTTGACAGGCATTGCTTCTATTATTGGTCTAAATCCAAATTTACTGCTCCAATACGATCTAACGCTTGGGTAGCGATAGACAGACATGAATATCAATATTCCCAAATATTTTCGAAGTTCTGTAAGGCTTATTTGAACGGGGCGATCAATATTGGTCTGCGTCGAATATTTATTGGTTTCTTCAACAATTTTTTTCAACAAGTCTTCTGAAAAGTACTGTGAAAAGAACTGCAGTGGGGTTTCTAGTTTCATTAGTTCAGGTCCTAATTCTGTACTACCCAAGAAAGCAATTGATTCCTCTTTATACTCCAAAGAGCGTTTTTTCCAAATCAAATTTCGTGTATTTATTTGCGGAAATACATTAGACCGAGAAGTCGAAGCTTGTTGATAGATTTCTTCATGAACCAGGGGAGGATCCGGGCATTCTTCAGTTTCAGGCACTTCCTCTTCATCACTTACTTCTTTATCTTCGAGTACGGCTTGTAGATCTTTGCGAGACGGATAGAAATCCAAGTCATCCTCATCTGATTCGGCATCGTCTTCTGAAATTTCGCCAGCCTCTAACCGCATTAGCATATTTTCTATATCATCGTCTTTCAATTTCTTTCTTGTAGTTCTGCAACAAATTTGTAAAGTTCAAAGAAGCGTAAATAAAAACAAAAACGCGAAAATCATCAACATGCATAGAAATATTTTTTATGCCTAAGTGCATGGTGTCTCATTTTCGATACAAACTAAAAACTCTTTTGTTTATGAGAGAAATCAATTTTTCGTAAAAAATACATAAACCTACTATAAACACAAACACTTACCTTGACATTGTATATTTTTTTTTGATATAATTTGTCTCAAATCCACTCCGATTCGTCTGGATAAAGTTAGAATTTTTCACAAAAACATTCACTCGCTGACAAGAATACTTTTGACAGCTACGAAACAAATATGGTGGACCAATACGAGAAACTTTGTTTTTTTTTCCGATAGACAAATAGTCTAAGGGCATCGTAACATACAGCCTAATAAAAACAAACAATTGGCTTTAAGTTTTAGTTAAAAAATCTCAACGTATCGTTTTTGATACATTATGCATTTAAGGGTTAAGGGAGTAGTAAGCCGCTCCCAAGTAAAGATAAAGATAAAGAAATCAATCTTAAGCAAGCTTTAGTCGCTATGACTTAAGTAAAGATTAAAAACGGCCAGAGCGGTAGGGCTCAAAGCCAGAGATCAGCAACATCACTAGCGAGATGTGTCTGAAATAATAATAAAAAGTGAAGATTAACCAACCAAACAAACAAACAAATTAAAAGAAATAAAAATAATAAGGTGAAAATGATGGTGAAGATGAGAATGATGGTGAAGTTTGAGAAACAAGAGGGAGTTCCATGACAGTCGGGTCAACAGGAGGGTCAAGTGATGGAGAGTCATTTTCAGTTGAAGGTGGAGTCAAGGATTCGAATTGTTTAGTAATATTGTCAAATTTGTAAAGTTAAGTTTAAGAAATAAAAATTTAATTAAAAAATTATACCTCTTTAAGTTACCTAGAATAAAAATATTAAAGTGATGAATGTAAGTGAAGTGTTTAATGTAGGTCTAAATATAATCTAGATAAGTTGAAACACTAGATGAAGTGTTGTTTTAGAATTTGGAAGGTTATCTACAATAAAGATATTAAAGTGATGAATGTAAGTGTTAAATGTAGGTCTAAATATAATCCAGATAAGTTGAAACACTAGATGAAGTGTTGTTTTGGAATTTGGAAGGTATGAAAAGGATGAATAAATAAAGAGTTAAGAACGAAATAGGAAGCAATTAAATCAAAAGAAATGGACAAGGCGCAGTAAAGGTGAAGAGAAGAGAAAGAGAACTTTTACGTTGGGCGCCAAATGTCGTGAAGCGACAATAGAGAGCAAAAAGAATCTAACCTAAGAACAACAAAACAAAAATACAACAAAAACAAAAATATATTTAAAATTCAAAGATATTTACAATTTTATAAAAAAATGAAATGAGGATGATGATGAATGAAGTGAGAGTACAATTAGATTACAAAAAAAAATAAAGGTAGGAGAATAGGGGAATATAGAGTTGTAGTGGAGCCTAAAAGTCGAAGCGACACACGTTGCGATTGTAGAGGTAGGTTTCTTAGCAGCGACGACACGCAGCGCCTGAAGCCAGCACACGCTGGTTGCGCTTGTAGAGGTAGGTTTCTTAGCAGCGACGGCACGCAGCGCCTGGAGCCAGCACACGCAGCGTCCGGAGCCGGCGCACGTAGCGCCTGGAGTAGATGCGCTCAACGTTTAGAGTCAGCAGTTGCAGCGCCCAAAGGTAGCGCCGGCGGTAGGTGCACTCGGCGCCTGGAGTAAGCAGTCGTAGCGCCCGGAGTAGTGTGGCCCCCGCGCTTGAAGTAGACTGCCGACGACTTCCGAGGTAGATGGAGGCTTGTAGGATTCCGGAGTGGTGCGGCTCCGCGCTTGAAGAAGGCTTCGCCGAAGACTTCACGTGTAGGTGGAGGCTTGCAGGATCCCGGGGCAGTGCGGCCCCGGGATAAGGCCTTTAGGAGATGCTTCCAATTCGAGAACTGAAGCAAGACTGCCTTTCTTCACCGATTGTTCGGCTTTTATACCTTTCTAGAGAGAACGGAAAAATTATTTAAATTAAACGCAAATTTTTTGTAAATGGTCAAGAGAAAAGAGTATTTATGTGGAATTATCGAAATAGGAACAACAAATCGGTAGCAAATTTGAATATAATTACTATGGAGACCAAATAAGCAACAATGTCAAAACATGTCAAATTTTAGTTTTAGGCTTGTAATAAGAAAACGGCAAGATTTAAGTGGAAAATGAGATATTATTGATATAGAAAAAAAGGTAGCGCAACTGCCCACACAAAGCCCGAAAATGTAGAGATACGGAAAACTAACTAAAAGATCGAAAAAAGGTAGACTCCATTGACACCAATTTAAAAGTGCTGATAATGTGAAAATACGAAGTAGAAATGATTTGTTATTGTGTTCTTATGGTTTAAAATCGTTACAGGATCCTATGGAAATAAAGGTGATGTAAAATATCCAGTTTTGAAGTGAATGAAGAAAATCGAAACAGAATGGAAAAATGAATTTAAAATAATGTAAAATGATATGTAAGTAGCATAACACTACAACATGTATGTTGTGTTTTAGTTAATTTACAGCCTCTATTCTTTAAGAGGTAAATAAAAACAAAAGTATTCAAATCAGAACTTTTTTATTTTCTGAAACAATGATGACAATTTTTTAAATGTAGCTAGTTACAATAACTTATACTGATACAAGATCATTTTTAACAAAAAAAACCTACTTCAACCAGTGAACTAACTAGTCACCCCTACGATTTTCGAAAGTTCCTTGATTTCTCTGGTAAGCCATCATCAGATCCTGGTTCCCTTATCATGGGACCACCTTGGGAATATCTCCTTTCCAAAAAAGAATTATCAAAATCGGTTCATAAACCAAGAAATTATTCACAAACAAACAAAAAAAAACAAATTGAGTAACCACCTCCTTTTTTTGAAGTGGGTTAATTAAATTATTATTATGGGACAAAAAATAATAATATTAAGTAAGATTTCTAAATAAACTTTTTATTTCTATTATGTATTAACATAAAGCACAGAGATGAGAAGTTGAGAACAGTAATAAAAAACTATGACATGACAAAAACATTTTCCGGGAGGCATAGATACAAAAAAACACACCAAGCAGCAAGGATTCCTTTTTTTTTTTTTATAGGGCAGGTAAAGGTAACATGACTTATGTTGTACACAGTATGCATTATAAAATTTATCACTTAACACTCCCACTTAAATTTTAGAATGATTACAATACTATACTTAAATTAAGCTTCAAACCAGCTTACTTACTGTCTACCAACAAAACTAACCTTTAAACCTACTAAGTATTTAATATTATACCTAAAAACCTCAGTTTATATTCAGTACTTGATCTCTGTTAAGAATAAATTTACCAGAAGGTAAAGCTTTTGTTAAAAAATCTGCAAGTTGATTTGAACTTTTCACATATTGAACATTTATTACATTTTGTTCTACCTTTTCTCTGATGAAATTATATCTTATGTCTATGTGCTTTGTTCTTTTGTGGTAAATAGGATTATGAATGAGTTTAATAGCACTCTGATTATCTATACATAGGGTTATCACCAATTGTGGTTCATCAATATCAATTAATAACTGCCGAAGCCATAAAATTTCTTTGGCAGCCTCACTTGCAGCCATATACTCTGATTCTGTAGTTGATAATGCCACAGTATTTTGCTTCCTGCTAGCCCAAGAAACAGGTCCACCATTCATCATAAAAATATATCCTGTATTAGATTTTCTAGAATCAATATCTGAGGCAAAATCAGAATCAGAAAAACCTACTAGTTCTTTGTTACAATTATAAGTAATACAAACATCTTTTGTCTTTAACAAGTACCGAATAATTCGTTTAACAGCATTTACATGGTCTTTACTGGGATTATTTAAATATCTACTAACTACATTCAAAGAATAAGAAATGTCAGGCCTAGATACGGTTGACAAAAACATCAGGGCTCCTACTGCTTCCCTATATGGAAAATTAATGTTACTCTCACTATCGTTTTTCTTTAAAATTACATTATTGTCAGCAGGGGTACTACAAGGATTGGCATCTGACATGTTGAATCTATTTATAATTTGTTTTATGTACTGTTTTTGACTTAAAGTAATTATTCCATCATTTTTAGTTATTTCCATGCCAACAAACATATTTAAATTAAATTCTTTTATCTTAAAACTTTGTTTTAAATCATTTATAATATGCAACAATATACTTTTACTTTTTGACAATAATAAAGCATCATCTACATACAAGATCAAGATAACTTTATAATTATTAAAATGACCCACAAATATACAGTTGTCAGAGGGACACATTTCAAAACCATAAGTAGTTAGGAAAGAAGAGAATTTTCTATTCCAACAGCGTGATGACTGTTTTAGCCCGTATATTGATTTTATTAACTTACAGATTTTCCTTGGCTCAGCATGGACACCTTCAGGCACCTCCATATAGACATCCTCTGATAACTCACCGTACAAAAATGCTGTTTTGACATCAAATTGTTGTAGTTCATAATTCTTTCGAGCTGCAAGAGATAATATTATTCTAATGGAATCGAATCTTGTTGTTGGTGAAAATGTTTCCTTGTAATCGACGTTCTTAGTTTGTGTAAACCCACGTGCACAAAGACGAGCTTTGTATCTTTCTATATCACCATCTGAATTTCTTTTTACACAAAATACCCATTTTGAGGTCACTGTTTTCTCATTATTTCTGTTTACTAACTTCCAGGTTTTATTTTCTTTTAATGACTCTAATTCTTCACATATAGCTTCCTTCCATTTATTACTATTTTTACAGTTTATAGCTTCTTCATATGTCGTAGGTACATCTAACTCAATAAAATTTGCTTCTTCATTTCTTTTCCTTCTAGGTCTCAGTGTAATATTTCTTTCATCATCTTCAGAAATTATTTGTGGAGGCTGGTACGTCACATCATTGGGATCTTCTTGTGTTTCTACACTTTCAAAACTAGATTCAGAAATATTTTGGTTGTCTCCTGGAGAAACTGGTATATCTTGTATGCCTTCTCTTTGCTCTTGTTCATCGGTGATAGAAATTGAAGTTGTGTGTTTCCTCAGTACTGGTATGTTGTTCTCATTGAAGTGTACATTTCTACTTATTGTTATCTTCCCACTTTCAATATCAAACATTCTATAATTTTCATTTTCATATCCTACTAATATTAATCTTACACTCTTTTTATCTAGTTTTCTTCTTCTTTCATCAGGTATATGGACATATCCTTCTGAACCAAATACTCTTATATGTTGAAGGGCTGGCTTCTGTCCATTCCACAGCTCATATGGGGATACATCCTTTGTCTGGGTAGAAGAACTTCGATTTAATAAATAAACAGCACAGTTTACTGCTTCAGCCCAGAGATCCAATGAGATATCACGAGAGTACAACATAGATCTTGCACTCTCCATTATTGTCCGCATTTCTCTCTCCACTCTACCGTTTTGTTCAGGCGTGTAGGGTGCTGTGCGTTCATGAACTATTCCTTCACTATTCAAATAAGATTTAAGTTCATTGTTAACGTACTCACGTCCATTGTCTGTATGCAATATACGAGTGCCATGACCAAACTTATTTTTCACTATTGCATTGTATTTCTTAAAGCAATCCAGGACATCACTTTTGTGCTTGATAATAAACACATGTCTATAGCTGGTGGCACCATCTTTAAATAAAACAAAATATCTTGCTCCAGATACAGATGTATGTTCTACAGGTCCACACACATCACTGTAGGTTAAATCACCAGGTTCACATTCTCCTCTACAAGATTTATGAAATGGCAAGCGGCTCCGTTTGCCATATTGACAAGCCTCACACACAAAGTTGATGTCATCCGTTAACTTTACTGGAATTGCACCATTCTTGCTCATGTTTTTCACTTCCTTCAAGTTTAAATGTCCCAAACGTTCATGCCAGATTTTCAAACTTGACTGTGCTAAATTACAATCTATTTGCACTGTGGTTTTAATATTTACTTCATATAGATTATTCTGCTTCAATGTTGCAGTCATAACAACAGTATTATCTTTTAATATTAAGGCCTCATTGTACTTCTTAATTATAACATAGCCTTTTCTTGTTGCCATGCCTTCTGAGAACAAATTTCTGCGTAGCTCTGGTACATAAAGTACATCTTCTAGAATACTTTTCTCCCACTTTCCATTCACACATCTATTAATTAATATATTTCCACAACCTTGCACCACTAGTTCCTTCTTATTTCCCAATCTCACAGTTGTACCACCACTATTCTTGCCATAATCCATTAACTCACTGAAATAATCGCGCCTGTATGACATGTGTGCAGATGCACCACTGTCAAGAATCCATGTATCTATATCTGCTTCAGACTGTAAACATTGCTCGGCACTGAATGCAAGCATCTTTTGCTCTTGAGGTTTCCTCTCAGACTTCTTTGGGGCTCGACAATCTCTTGCAAAATGCCCTCTCTTGTTACAGTTATAACATATAAATCGATGCTGATTATTTTGACCAGACGTTGAAATTTTTTTTATATTGTGATTCTGAAATTTTCTTTGTGGCTTAGAATGTTTCATGGCTACTAAAGCACTCTCAGATTCCTCCTCATATGTCAAACTCGCCTCCTCATCTAATAATCTTGTTGTTAAGTTCTGAATTGTTTGAGAATGTGGATCTAATGACAGCCATGCCTGACGCAGAGAACGATACTTTGAAGGTAGTGTACTTAATATTTTTGTCATAATTGCTGTATTACTTATTTCCTCGCCAGTCTCTTTTAATTGTTTAGCTAAGTTCTCGACTTTGGAAATATGCTGTGCAATACTATCGGTTGATGACATCTTATATTGATAGAATTTCTCGTGCACCATCATTTTGTTCAGTTCCGATTTTTGTTCGTAAATTGATTCCAACCTTGTCATCACTTCCTTTGCTGTTTCACAATTTTCAATTAATGAGATTTGGTTCAGTTCCATAGACAAAGTTAATAGAAACATGGCCATGCCATCATTTTTGTCCCACTGCGTCGTATCACCCACCGTCGGTTTTTTTTCATGGATATTTAAACCTTTCGCTTTTAAGGCACAACTGACTTGAAATTTCCATTGTCGAAAATCCTTGCCGTTAAACTTCTCAATTCTCATTGAATTTGTGACTTCCATTTTGTTTTCTTCACTATCGAACACGTGCTTGTTTTCACCTTATAAGTTCTGCTCTTTACTCAGTTTATTACGAAGCGTACCTGGGCCCATAACTTAACATAAATAACTATACTAATTTAATCACATACATTATTTGTAAGGATATGTTTTATGATATAAATATGTCATTAAAATAAATTTAAAATACCTTTCCTAGTGCATGAACGTTCCTGGAAAGCATTACAATTATTATTATTAAGCATATATTCTGTGTACAATGCTGGTAAATAATGCTTAAAATAAAAACATTCACTTTTCAAAATAATTTCTTGAATGAATTGTTCATCTCGGCTAACTTGTACAGTCACACTAGCATTTCTTATTGGTGAATAGACAAAAAGGTCACACATTGTCATTCCAGTAACATACATCTGTGTTTGAACTTGAGTGTAGTATGGATGGCTTTTCTTAACTTCTATAAAATTATTTCTAAACACTAAGTACACAAAATTGCACAAGCGATTATCAAAATTAACCACAGGTTTTTTTTTCACATGAAATTGGACTTCGACTAGCTTTGTCACACAACCATCCTCCACTACTACACCATCAATACTCGCGCACAGCCATGTTTGATCTTTGCTAATAATTGCACCTACTTTTTTTACTTGACAGAAATTCAATTTTTCATAAAGTAATATAGCTTTTTGTTCATTACATAAGCCATACCGGGTTGCAGCACAATCAACTTTCTTTGGATTTAAAATACTTGACACTAAACTTTGAATGGTTTTGGTTGCACAAGTTTTTATGCGATGTATATTTTTACTTGCAGTTATCCTGACATGTCTAATTGCATACCAGTTCTGGCATGCTGATTGCTTGTGTTTTTTTTTATAGGATAACGGCGACAAACGAGCACACAGTCCACCTGTTGGTAAGTGGTTGCTGTGGCCCATAGACATCTACATCTATCCTCTATTACAAATCAATATGTAGATGCGTTGTCACCCGTGAGGACTAAGATGGAATGCCTCATTTCTAGTAAAAAGGGCCTCCGGCCACCTGCACTCACCAAGCGAAACGCAGAGGTAAACCTCTACTTCACGCTGGTTTTCTGTGAGGTCGTGGTACCACCCTGGTTCGAGCCGGCCCATCCGTGCGACAGCAAAAGCTGCCGTGTGGCTCTACCACTGTTAAATGGTATATAATGTTACAACAAATGTGAATAATATCTTCCTCTGTTACAACTACATGTTTCTCATGGTATACATTCAGATTTTCTCCTAGTGTGTAATCACTGTGATATAATTCAAATTCGTTTCTGATTATATAAAAAAAAAAAATTAAACATGCAGAACAGTCTTCTCGCTCAATAAGTGATTCAACTAAGTCCAATATTTCAGATATTACATCTGTAATAAGATTTATATCTTGAGTCTGCACTGATGCCACTCGTACTTGTTTTAATGATGACTCTTGCAATAATTCATTATGAATTATTGGTTGTGGTTGATAACATTCAGTCTTGGATACTGGTGGAAACATGTCTTGAAAGTACCTCCCCTTGGAATATTTACTTTGAACAAATTGACGAATGCTGGGTTTTCCCCATTGTTGTTTATTGCTTGTTTTCGAATGACTTACTTTGTTGTTAATATAACATATTATAGCAGCAACATGTTTGCACTTGCCGCTTTGGTTATAAACACAACTGCATTTTACTCCAGTGACAACACAAGAATCATTGATCTGGAATAAATAAATTATAATTTCAAAAATAAATTCAAGTAGGTACGTTACCTACCATAAAATACTAGAGTCTGTGCGGAAAGAGAACCGTCGTGACCGTCGCACAGACTCTAGTGTGTTTCATTGGTTTAAGGTTATAAAAGTACTTACGTTTAAACTCGTTACATAGGGTGTTAATGTCACCGATGTTTGACGAATTATGTGGGCTCGTATTAAATAACTATTGCCATTCTTTCGTAGCTCTTCAACATTTCTTACATGTTGTGCTAAAACTAATTTTTCTCCTTTCAACACGGTTTGAGGTTGGAAACGAATATTGTGTTTTACACTTTCAAAACCAGTTTTTATAATAATATCTATTATTTTATGCACTGTTTTAACAAATTCCTTTAAAAATACCACTTGACTTTTTATTTATCTTTAATTTACTATATTTACAAGAAAGCAATAAAATACTGATATGTCACTATTTGGCATAATCCCGGAAAGTTGCGCATTCTAGGTGGTGCTACTGTCGTGCACATAGCGAATAGCAGTTAATATAACGCCATTATTGTGAAAAATCACTTATATTTAGTTAGTCTGTTAGTTTATCAATACAAATATCTATTTTATAACGTAAAATTTATGAATAAATAATAAAAATTGTAATAAATGCTTATCCTTGCCATGACACAGTATTCTTGCGCGCCGCCATTTTAGAAATTGACAAATGACGCACGGATAACTTCATTGACTCCAATAAATTAGTGTTGCCATTGTATGAAAATATTAAACTTCTATTTTAGTTGTATTTCAACTATAAATATATTTTATTTACCTTTCAAATATTGAATTAATTGAGGTCTGATTTAAAGGACGCTAATGGGTTAAAGATACAATCTTTCGTTCTTGTGTCTATCGTCTGTTAGACATAAGTAGACCAGAAAGAGTGGATCACATCCATTTAATCAAGGATCCTAGCAGCATTCCCCTCAACCTGCCGCCGCAATCGGAAAATATGTTCCGGCAGAGGTTGAAAGAAGGGCTTCCTCAGCTGATCAAGAACAGAGATATGGCAAAGATTTTCGGAACTGCCGCAGATGTTGAAGAAGAGAATCTCAAGAAAGATCTGCTATCCGTAAAGCCCGTGAACCCAAAGTTGTTATGCAAATTGTGGCAATTGTCAAATGTGGGAGTGAGAGAGCAGGTTATCGGTAAATATCATAGAAGGGCCATCCTTGGGTTCATGGATAGACGTGAAGGCATTATTGGCAACTACTAACCTAAAAACAAAAACAAGCCATTCACAAAACCACTAAAGGAGAGTAAATGTGTGAAAGTCTTAACTCAACAGATTAGAGAGACTCTGTGCGGACTATCTTTGGAGGGAATCCACCCCCTCTGATAAAATTGTGTTGACACCCTGGCATGATATTCCTGAGAGGTTGGTGCCCTTATCTATATTCCTGAGCTGATCCGGGCAAGCCTGCAACAACTGCTTCTACGAGAGAGGGCCGCGCACACTATACATAGAATCTCAAACAAAAGTCAGAACTAAAAGAGCAGCTCTACAGGTTTCGGAAGTGGGCGGAATGATTGAAAACATCAAAGCAATATTAAGCTCCTGAAGGTTCTTACTGAAGAAATAACAAGGCTCATTTTGGACGAGTTGGAACCGTTTATGTCGCAGGTTTATTCGGGAATGCTATCTCACAGACTTGCCTGTCCCGTCCTACGCAGAAGGCCCATGTGGAACGGGTCCACGAATATCTTGTTCTGGTTAAGAATTGTCTTCGACACAGCTACTAACTACGCAAAAAAGGCACCTAAATAAATAAAAACCCAACCAAATAGTAGCCCTCGGCAGAAGAAACCAAACGGCCGAGGGTTAGGGAGAAAGGGAAAGAAACCGGCGGACGATGCGGGCGGATTTATTATTATTATTATTTTGGGGTATCTATAAAGTTTTCTCATCTGGTTGGGCAGTATAAATATATAATTGTAAATGAAAATGATAAACATACATAAATATCAATAAAATAAAATAAATACATAAAAAATACATAAATATATAAAAACCCAAACAGATGGAAGCCCTCGGCAGGGGAGACCAGACGGCCGAGGGTTAGGGGGAAAGGGAAAGAAACCGGCGGACGATGCGGGCGGTATCGAGGAGCACCGCCTTCTGCATTTGAGCCTGGAGCGGTCCGTCACGGAGTCCCAGTCGCCTCAGATGACCCGAGAGGCTGACTGGGATTAACCCGTTCGCAGAAACGACCACAGGAATAATTTCGGTCGGCAGACCACCCCACATGCCGGTAATCTCGTGAACCAGGTCCAGATATTTTGTCAGCTTATCTGTTTCGGCTTTCACGAGGTTCTCGTCATGAGGAATGGTAATGTCGACCAAAAAGATCCTTGACTGTGCCCGGTCCATCAGCACAATATCAGGCTTATTCGCAAGAATAGTCCTGTCTGTGATGAGGGCCCGGTCCCAGTAGAGCCTGGCGTGGTCATTTTCGAGCACGGCTTCCGGCAAGTACTTATAATACGGCAGTTTTCGATTCACGAGGCCGTATTTCAGAGCGAGCTCCTGGTGTAGAATCCTGGCTACTAGATTGTGTCTGTGCAAATACTCAGAGTTAGAAAGCGCTGAACAACCGGAGATGACATGCCTAAGTGACTCACCGGGATGGCGACAAGCTCGACAGATGTCGACGGTGCCATCCTTTAGGATGTATCTCCGATAATTGTTGGTCTTAATAACCTGATCCTGTATTGCACAGACAAAACCCTCAGTTTCCCCAAAGAGGTCACTGAAACGTAGCCAGTAAAGGGAGGCGACTGTGTCTACGAAAGGCTCATGAAGGGCCTTGTGGAGCTCCTCAACCTCCCGTGGAGCTCCTTCTCCTTCCATACGGTCTCCCGGTCGGAAATGCTCTGTACTGCCGGGTCTTGCCATTGCTCGTTGGCTAAGGATAGAGGGGTTAGCCCTTTATCACAAGAAATAATGTCTCTGTAGTATGGATCATCCGCTTTCGTCAGAAAGTAATTACGGAGTCTGCACACTTCGCGATTATGCATGATAAGCGCGCTTAAAAAGCCGCGCCCACCATACTTCCGCGGCAAGTACAGCCTCATTACTGACGATCTCGGATGATGCATCCTGTGGGACGTCATTATAGTGCGGACTTTTCTGTCCAGAGCGTTCAGTTCGGTCTGAGTCCACCTGAGTATGCCAAAGGTATACATGAGAACAGGCATGATCCAACCGTTATATGCGTGTGTCTTATTCACACCGGACAAAAGGCTATTAAGCACTTTGGTCAAGCGTGCATAAAACACATCGCAAACTGACCGTTTCATACCCGCCTCATCTACACCGATGTTCTGTGACATCCATCATATGACATCCCAGGTATCGGTATGTTTCAGCCTCGGAAAGGGTCCTTATGCTGATGGGCATAGATAAGTCTATGATCTCAGAGCTAGCAACCCTTCCCCTTTCGACATGGAGAATCGCACATTTATCCGTCCCCAGCTCCATTCTAATAGAATTGCTAAAATCACAAGTGATGTTTAGCAATTCCATAAGATGAGAGCGACTGGAACTTGAGATCATCCATATAGAAAAGGTGGGTCACTTTTGTATCTCCTCTCCGAAGCTGAAATCCCCTCCCGGAGCCCTCCAGTAAGGTACTGAGAGGGTTCAGAGAGAGGCAGAACAAAATTGGACTCAAACAATCGCCCTGGAAGATACCCCTTCTTATCCTTATGTGGTTCTCCGCAGCCGTCATCCGCTCGCCTAGATGACAAAGGATCGTACTCCACTGCCCCATACACTGCCCGAAGAAGTCTCGAACTGTACAGTCAACCTTGTACAGCTCGAGGACCCTCTTCAGCCATGTATGAGGCACCGAGTCGAATGCCTTTTTGTAGTCTATCCAGGCGGCGGTGAGGTTCCGCCGGTTGCGTTGAACCACCTTGCCAATGACCGCGTCAATGAGGAGTGGTTCCTTGGTACCACGACCACCGCCCCGACATCCATTTTGAGCGCGCGACATCACCTGGTTTGAGTTCAGGTGACGAATGATTCTCGCGCTCAAAATGGATGTTAGTGTCTTGTATATGGTAGGTAGACACGTTATGGGGCGGTATTTGCTCGGGTCTGTGGAATCCCGGTCTTTAGGAACCAAATGAGTGATCTCAGTAGTGAAGAGGCTCGGGAGCGACTTTTGGTCGAGAGCCTCTTGAAACTGTCGGGCGAGCACAGCGTGACACACCATGAACCCCTTCAGCCAGTAGTGATGCAGTCCGTCGAGTCCCGGACTTTTCCAATTCGGGGCCCTACGGACCGCCTCAGCTACGTCATCCGGCGTTATGATGACGGGGTCCACAGGCGTAACATTCGCACACTGACTCGCCACAACTTCCGTCCAAGGGCCCTCGCTGTGGTTTACGGGCTCTGACCACAGGCCGCGCCAGAATGCGATAGTGTCGGCCTGATTCGGTGCTGGGCCCGTTCCAAGTACCATTGGTCGCTCCAGTGATTCATAGAGCCTCTTCTGATCACTCCGGAAGAGACGATTCTGGTTGAACCGTGTCGACCTCTCAGTATATCGCCGAATCCGCTTCCCCCAAGCAGCGACTCTCTGCTTCAGGTCGTCTATGTCCGGCGTTATGATGACGGGGTCCACGGGCGTAACATTCGCACACTGACTCGCCATAACTTCCGTCCAAGGGCCCTCGCTGTGGTTTACGGGCTCTGACCACAGGCCGCGCCAGAACGCGATAGTGTCGGCCTGATTCGGTGCTGGGCCCGTTCCAAGTACCATTGGTCGCTCCAGTGATTCATAGAGCCTCTTCTGATCACTCCGGAAGAGACGATTCTGGTTGAACCGTGTCGACCTCGCGGTATATCGCCGAATCCGCTTCCCCCAAGCAGCGACTCTCTGCTTCAGGTCGTCTATGCGCTCCGTCAGTTTTTGCGTTATATCCGGCTGGGACAAACTGATATTTGTCCCAGCAAACGCCATCCTGACGGTGCGCACAATTCTCGGCCTATTATTGCCCGACCTGAAGCTTATCAGTCTGCCGATGAGGGCCCTTGCCTTTGCGATACGGTCCTCAATCCTTCTTCTCCAGACTGGGATGGCACTACTTTGTCTAGTAGCGCGTCCAGCCGTGGGAACTTTGGCGCCAATAATGCGGCAAACTGCCAGTGCGGCGCCAAAAAGAATTGAGTCCGTCTCGCAAAGGTCCCGGCTGGCTTCCAAATAGGTCACCAGCATTGGGTTAAGAGCCCTCACGACAGCCCGATTCCGCTTGCTTAGGGGCATGCGCGGGAGTCGCGGTCGATTTTCGAGAGGCATACTGCACGTTTCCAAAATAGCCTCTTCCAATGTACTCCTCATTTGCTCTAGGTCTAACTCCTGGGCGACTGTTCCATCATCGTCTGAACCAATCATAACTGAAAGATTTACGGCGGCATCCACGTGTGCTGGTTGCTCTGCAACTTGTGGCGCCGCATCCTCAGCCGTAGCATTGTCATCCGATGAGGGTACAGCCTCACGCCGTAGCCGTTCGAGTTCGGTGCTATCGAATATGTTTGAGCGCAAGATATACCGAACTCGGTCTGCCAGGTTTTGCTCGGTGACGGTTATAGATGGCTCCAGCTCAGCAAAAAGTCGATGCATCCTAGCCCGATATGCAAAACCTCCAATTTCTCCCCCTTTCGCCCTAAAATACGCCCGCAATGCGTTGCTGTTCATCTGCATTGACCATCGCATGCGGCGTACTCCACCATTGGCGGGTGCTGATTGCTGGGCCCGCGAAGACCCTGCCAACACCAAGCCAGCTGGTGGGGATGATGGATGCGAGGGGCTGCTAGGTGGTCGTGCAGCACCTCGCACTCGGCTGGCGGTCCTCATGCTGTCGCGTCCAGCGCCAGCTCCAGACGCGCCCCGGCGACCCCCAGGCAGCGGCCCTAAACGCAGTCAATTTCTTTTTATTATTATTTTCGTTGAAATCTTTAATAGTATTCGGTACACACCCACGCCAATAAAGACCTTTGATGTCGATGAATAAATGGCTTCCACATGAAACAGTCGAAAAGTTATTTTGTGCATACAAAAGGCAAAATGATCTCCTCAGTGATCGCCAGTACGGGTTTCGCCGAAATCGATCAACTGCGGACCTTCTAGCGTATGCCTCACATATGGGGCCAAGCCCTCGAAAACAGTGGTAAAGCACTTGCTGTTTCCTTCGATGTTTCGAAGGCCTTTGATAGGGTTTGGCACGCTAGTCTGTTGGGCAAGCTTTCAGCGTACGGCTTATCCCCTGGCCTGATTGCGTGAAGGACTTTCTGAATGAACGGGTCGTCGTTGATGGCTGCTCATCCGATACTGCGGCGACTAACGCCGGTGTTCCTCACGGGTCCGTTCTCTCCGCAACTCTCTTCCTGCTGCATATAAATGGTCTGTTCATTCCCGGTATCTATGGGTATGCAGACGACAGCACAGTTGTGGAGAGATACCAACCAAGTGCCCGGGCCAGTCGGGATCAAATCCACTCAGAAAGAGAGGCTATGGTTGAGCGTGTGAATCTCACATTACAGGCAGACTCCGAATGGGGCGGCGCCAATCTCGTGAGATTTAACGCCTCCAAAACACAAGCGTGTCTTTTTACCGCTAAAAGGAGTCCGTTCACCTTGGCTCCTATTTTCCGGAATGTATCCTTGGAGTACACTGACTGCCTTCAGTTGTTAGGGATTGAATTTTCTGTGAACCTCAACTATGGGCGGTTCATTGAGTCCAGAACCAAAGCAGCCGCAAGGAAACTTGGTATCTTTGCCAGGGTGCAGCGGTACTTCCCGCCGGGGCAGCGTCTGCGTCGGGTCGTGGATGTGGTACTGCTGTCACATATGGGCTGGTGCAGCAAAATGCCACCTGGCAGCATTGGACTCAGTGGAGAGACGTGCTAAGAGGTTCCTTGGTGACCTTAATTTAGTTGAAACCAATCTTATCAGCCTCGAGCACAGGCGCAGAGTAGCCAGTCTCTCAGTATTCTATAGGATGCATTTCGGTGAGTGTGCGCAGGAATTACACGCTTTAATTCCTCCCTATCCTTTCCACCATCGGACAACCAGACGGTCGGCGGGTCTTCATTCCCTTGTTGTCGATATTCCACGCATTGGAACCAAACGGTTTGCTTTGTCTTTTGTAATGCGTACAGCAAAGGAGTGGAATAATTTGCCGGCGTCTATCTTTCCGTCCGAATACAATCTGGGCGTCTTCAAGCGATTTACCATCTAAGGCTGCATCACCACTTATCACCAGGTGGGATTGTGGTCAAGCACTGGCTTATAATAAGTAAAAAATGTATACGTACGGACTGTATCGAAGACCACACGATGATGCTCCACCTGCATGAGGAGACGCAACACCTAGCCCAAATGACTTAATAAAAAAACATGGTTTTATTATTTAACTTTTTTCTCACAATAAACTAAATAAGATTCTTAAAGTGATTGTTTATTAGGAGTTGTCTGGCTCTATTTCGCTGAGGATTACTTGATTGTTCACACCTTATTTGTCCATTTTGTAAGCGCGCCTCCCAAGGTGCTGGAAGAATCAAACCTGGATCACCAGGTGGGCTTGTTTCTCCTCGTTGACGCAATATGTTATGCAGTACAGCCGTTACCATAATTAAAACCAAGGCCTTGTCTAATTTAACTCGTAGCCCTAAATCTAGTACTGGAAATCTTCGTTTTCAAACCCCATAAGATCTTAGTTTCTTGCCTGATCTGCGACTCGTTATACAGTTGCTCTACTGCTGTTCCAGGATTCTCTAGTGGGGGCATAGAATAAGATGTAGCAGCATATCTACCATCTAAAAGAAAAATTCCTTCACCATAATCACCAGCTTCAAATTTTGCTTTACGGCAGCAATTATTAAATATAGTACTGTCATGTGCTGAACCAGGCCATCTAGCGACAATATCAATAATTTCCAAATTTGCATTACATATAGTCTGGACATTAATAGAAAAATAGTCTTTTCGGATTCTAAACAGTTCTGCCTGATCAACCCCGGGTGAAGAAATTCTGACATGTGTGCAGTCCATTGTCCCTATAACTCTAGGGAATCTTGCTATACCATAAAACTCCCTTTGATTTCGAAGAATTTCCTGTTGAGTATTCGGAAAATTTATGTACTCGTGGTTCAATGACGCTATGGCAGCACTAGCTTTATGTATTATTTTTTGTGTTGTAGGTGTGCTGAGTCCACTAAAATCACTGATCATTAATTGTGAATTATTCGTAGCATAAAATCTTAATGTTGTCAAAAGCTGATTGATCGGAGAAATTGATTGATTCCTCTAAACAAAAACAGTTTTAATTTAAAGCAATTCATTGCCATATTATGTACCTACGAACAGTATAAATAGGTAAAAAGACTCACCTCTCAGATATAAATTCCAAATGGTCTTCAATTTTGATTAAAGGATTATGAGCTGCTGCTTTAGATAACCGAAATCTTATCCTAAAATCTTCGTCATCATAGTCATAAAAATAATTAATCCTTTCTTTTATCCACCATGGACGTGTTACATCATACGACAGTGATGATAGTGAAGGTGAAATCTTACGTAAGGTTTCACCTGCACTATCATCACTGTCGCTGTTGTTAATCATTCCTCTCAAACGTTGCATTATGTACAGCTATATACTCTCAATAATAATTAAATTGAAAATTTATTAACCAAACAGCAATTCAAGAACAAGAAACTTGGACGTACGCGACAGACTATGAAATGTCAAATAATTAACAGCTGACAGCCTGTCGGCCATTTTTAACCGAAGAGTAACTCCGTATTCCTTCAGAATCGTGAGTATAAATCTTATCTCTTGGTTAACTATTTATTCTTGGGTTAAATTGTTGGTGAAATGTAAAATTTGATAACACAGAATAACTTATATCATTACTCTTGGAATAAAACTTATTTTGGAGTTGAATTTTGGTGAAATCGGCCTTAAATGAACTAATCTCACTATCTAGAATTTTCGCTTTTTTACGAAAATTCTTTATTATATTCACTCTTATACTTCTATCACTGAAAGAACCTTCCTTAGAATTAGTTAAAGTTACATCTACTTCAGTATTTGGTTCTTTCTTAATTTTATTGTTACGAGCTTGGGGTTCGAGACAATTAAAAACTGCCGATTGAATTACCGAAATTGACACTAATTATACAACACTAATTACAATCTAAAACCACACAATTATAAAACACAATTGTCACTGGTTCGCAATTATTTCGCTTCGAAGTATTCTCTTGTATCGCCAATTCAACACTGACTCGGTCGTGGTCTATACCGGCGGTCGTGGTATATTTATATAAATATAGATAGTTTCCAGCACCTTCTACTGTAGCGACATCTAGAATGTTCAAGTACATATCGGTCCCGAAATTTCTAGAAGGATCTTGACTCTCCTAGTTTTGCTACTCGACACTAGAGGGCGCTGATGGTAACTAGTGTTGCCATGTACAAGACATTAATAGTGGCGCGCAACATTATTATTATTTAAATGAAATTGTTTTTGACTACACGAGCTGATATCACTGCCACTACTATTGCCAGAAGAACTTAATTCTGAATCTTGTTCACTATCAATCTTATTTTTAACATTTGTCTGAGCTCTAATTACATCCATGGTGCTGTTTAAAGCATTTAAATGAATTGATAGATATTTATAAATTTTAAGGTTTTTTCGATTATTAAAAATTAACTTTTTAAATCTTTAAAATATTCTTCACTGATGGCTGAACTTGCAGTCGTAATTTTATCTAACTGTAATAAAGATATTTTTTTATAAAATAAATACGGCACTACATCAGACCATAAAACAAAGTTCTTTGAAAAATTAATCAGTCGTTGAGCAAAATCAGGATTGTAATATTCGTTATCGAGGTGACCTCTATTTTTATTTGACATTCAGTTTGTAATGCTTCTAAAAATCTTCAACTGGTCGAGATTTTTTATTTCTTTTCCTTTTTTTGAGACTTTCGTCCTCTTCTTGTTGATCGATCAGTTTTTATCATACTCAATAACTTTTTACGATAATTGAAACTTAAATTATCATAATTTTCTTCATAATTTTGGGCATAAGCTACTGTCAACACTAGTATTAATATTTCCTTAAAAACTGTTGAGTGTTGGGCTTTTTACTAGAAATCCGATGCATCTCACATAAAAGTTTTTAAGACGAATTTTATTCAAACATTGCGTTAACTTTTCGTTACAAACTTCATTAAATGAGCTATATCGACTCTCAGGATTGTTTCTTTATTAATAAATGGTTGATCGCTAGTTATTTGATCGAAACATTCATCCACATATTTATTCAAGGATGTTTCGTTGAATGCGATTGAAGATGCATTGAGAAGCGCCAGTGAGTAATCAGAAACTATTTGTTTCGGTACTTTAACCCCAGAGCGGAGCCATTCTCCACCAATACGAAAGAGTATTTGCATCATGCTTTGCTGAAATTAATTGAAACAACAGCAAAGATTTGTTGTTGTATGATGCAATGGCTTGGTAGAGAAAAATGGGAGGTTCAGAGCCATCCAACATCAACGCCAAGTTTATCAAACTTCCAGTAGCCTCAATACTAATCATCAATACTAATACTAATCCCTATGGGGTTATTTTTCAAAAATAAATTATATAAATATACCTGTTCGGGTAACCAGTACATTACGTACGAGGGCGGCACTGAAAATTTCGGGAATCAAGGAAATGACACAACATTACTTTTTAAAAATATATTTATTGCTTTTCGAAGTATTCTCTGCGAAATTTGACACATTTTCCATACGATGGAACTAATCATTGAAGCAACCATTCCATTCGGAAGTTGGGGTCTCCAAAATGGCCGTTTTGTAGGCATCCACAGCTTCTTCAGGTGATGAAAATCTCTGTCCACGCAATTTATTCTTTATTTTAGTATAGAAATCATTAGAGCTTAGGTCGGGGCTGTACGGCGGATGGTCTAATAATTCTATGTTTTCTTGCTCTAAAAACTCTTGTTCTGTGTGCAGTGTGAAAACTCGCATTGTCGTGATGGAGGATGATGCGGCGGTTGCAGTTCTCTTTACGGAGTTCAGAAACTACCTGTGGCAAACAAATGCTAGCATACCATTCTGCATTAACCATTCTTTGTCTCTCAAGAGGAATAGTCGTAACATGGCCGGTTTTGGAGACAAACGTGGCCACCATTTTTTTTGCAACACTCCGTGAACGAACAATTTTTGTTGGCGTTAACTCATTTTCGAACACCCAAACTCGTGACTAGTTTTTTGTTTCGGGTTCGTACGCATATATCCAGGATTCGTCACATAATACGATGTTGTATACAGCATTTGAGGATCCTGCGTGGAATCTTTCGAGAGTTCTGACGCACCAAGTAACGCGAGCCGCTTTTTGCTCTTCACAGAGCAAATGCAGTATCCATCGGGAAAACAACTTTTTTACACCTAATTGTTCATGCAAGATTATTTGTATTTGACTCATGCCAATGTCTAAAGTTGCCTGAATTTCGCGGTATGTCACATGTCGATCTTCCTCAATCAGCTTACGCACAGCATCAACGTTTTCTTGGGTGACTGCAGTTTTTGGACGACCTTGACGGGATCATCACTGAGCTTGACACGTCCACGTTGAAATTCAGCAAACCAGCGATAAATTGTAGTTTTGGATGGGGCTTCATCACCAAATGCAGAAATCATCCGGTCAACACACTGTTTTTGTGTTAAACCACTTCGAAAGTCATAATAAATCATCGCTCTTGAATTTTCTTGTCAATTCCATTTTCTCAACTACTAAACAAGTTTGACAAAACCTTGTGATAAGACCGAGAATCTTTTTTTAAATAAATAAATGGTATTCGATTTTGAAAACCAAGGAATTTTCAATTAAAAAAAATTTTATATGACAGGAACAGTGGAAATATTCCATTCCCGATACTTTTAGTGCAGCCCTCGTACAATCGATCGGCTCCAATCTCTCGAATACTCCCACAGTATTTAGGGTTTTTTTTTAAATTCAAAAGTGCAACTACTTGGTTGGTGTTGGGTCCTAAACAATACATTCATTTCAATACATTTTAATGAGCGTTTTCTTAACGGGTATTTTAATTTAGAAAGCACTTCAGTGTCATTTTTCACTATTCCAAAAGCGTTCACTATGCTATTTTTTAGGTCCTCGGCACTTGTTGTCTCACTAAAATAAACTAATGATTTAATACATCCCCACAAAAAAAAGTCAAGAGGCGTCAAATCAGCTGATCTGGGAGGCCACTGAACTGGGCCGCCGCGTCCGATTTTGTGCTCTCCAAACTCATTATCAAGGTGCTGTCGAACACTACTAGTAAAATGAGCAGGGGCATCGTGTTGGTAGTATACCTCTTGTAAATTGTTAAGAGGTATGTCTTCTAGCAGTGTAGGTAGATTTTCTCGTAAAAACAGTAAATATGCGTCTCCTGTTAATCTTTGTAAGAACACAGGCCCCAGTATGTGTCTACCAATGATACCGGCCCAGACGTTAACGGAGAAACGGTGTTGGAAGGAATCTACTCTGCATGCGTGAGAATTTTCGTACATCCATAAATGTGTGTTGTGTTGATTATACATTCCCACACGTGTGAATGTACTCTCATCTGTCCAAATTATGTTTCGCTGCCAATTTTCTAATAACCAGCGGCTGAACTGCAAGCGTGGTGCATAATCGTTTGGAGTCAACTCCTGGCATCTTCTGAGGTGGAATAGATGTTCTTTATCACCACGAAGTGTTCTCCACACATGCATATGACTACATTGAAAGCGTGGGGCTGCTTCTCGAGTACTGGCATGGGAATTCTCATCGAAATAGTCCAGTATTTCGTTTTGAAGACGAGTACGTGTATGCACATTGGCTCCCCTGTCGATGGCCGTGTTCGGACGGAACGTTCCGTGGTCGTGAAGCCGTCGAGTAGCAGCTAACATAGTCCTGCGGTCTACTATTGTACCATATCTTTGGTTGAATGTTTTGCAAGCTAGAGCCACATTATCACCACACTGTGCCAAAGTCCTTACCATTTCAGTGTACTGGACGTTGCTGTATTGGAAAGACATCGCGCGCCAAAAATTATATGCAATCAATCTCGTAAGTACTTTCCACTCATAATGTCCGCGCGTGACTAATAAATATTGTTTCATTTAAGTTAGCTTTCATCGCCCATTAATGTGCTATCTCACTCTATCCCAGGTTCCCAGGAAATAAGGTTCATTTTTCCTTATTTTGTATTGAATGACGGAATTTGTATTAATACGAGTACAAATAAAACTGCACTTTTAAAAGTCTTATTGCCTTGAATTACGGTCTATTTCAGTTTGTTTTGACTGTACAGGTTTAGTGTGACTGTAAATTACATAGTTTCAATTATTTTGGGATAAAATAATTACCTATATTAAAAATGATAGAAATCGGTTCAGTAAACGATTCTGAACAAACTACATTCTCAAAGTGCGTTAATTATGTTACGTGTTGTATATATATTAAGATGAATATATATATATATATTCATCATAAATATATGAGCCGTGGTAGTTCAGATGGTTAGCGCTCGCTGTCAGCTTCACAGAACTCGAGCAACC